GCACAGTACTTGTTTTAGTTCCATATTGGACATACCAAGATGCGTTTTAAGCCCGTAAAACTACGCAATTTTTGCCGTTTTCATACGGGCTTTAGAAGGCAATTCTTCAACGGTCGACGGAATCCTTCAAAATGCTTGAAAAATTTAAAACTTCCTATTGTTAGAAAGCAGAAAAGTAAAACTCTTATGCTAAGTTTACCCCGAGTTCTAGTTTTGTAAATTGTTTCAATGCAAATACCGAGAACTTCGTCAATTTTCCAGATATTTTTTGCATATTTAATGAGGCAAAAAGCTATATTTTCGTTTTTTGCAAATTTCTCGAAGACTTTAAATTCTAAGAAAATCGGAATAATACTTTCGAAAGTGGCTCCCTAAAAGCGTTCTTTAGGCAAAGTTTTAGGATTTTCGATTTTTCCAACCTGGCCAGCCATTCTCCATATTTTCAGTCAGTGACTCTTAATTTGCATTTGGTCATTATTGTCTCAATACAACGACAATCGAAAGCGTGGAATAGAAACGCTTTTCGCTTTCTTACAAGAAAGCTAAGTTTTGGGTGAAATTTTCATGGAAGCCGCTGTTGAGGTTAAGAGAGTGAATAAAAAGGGCAAAATACCGTGTTTCGTAGTAATAATGATGAAGGCAGATATATGTTGGTTGTTCATGATAAAGAACTAGAGGATAGGCATGATTTTGATATTTCTACAAATACGGTAAGAATTGCGTAACATGGAAGTTTCTCTAGACGCACATGTTACGTAAAACCAATCAGATTGATAAGATACAGCTTTATTGTCATCCAGAAGCGTTCGAGCCACCTTACACTCGAAAAGTTAAGATGGCACTGAACCACCGCCGGAGAATGCTTTTAAACTTTGTTTGATGATTGATGATGATGATTGCTTCATGACTGATTGTTGACTGACACACTTTCAAAAGCAAACAAGGCAACTTACCTGCGCCACTGGCGTTACCACAATAACGAAGATCGCAANTTTTGCATATTTAATGAGGCAAAAAGCTATATTTTCGTTTTTTGCAAATTTCTCGAAGACTTTAAATTCTAAGAAAATGGGGAAAATATTTTTGAAAGTGGCTCCCTAAAAGCGTTCTTTAGGCAAAGTTTCAGGATTTTTGATTTTTCTAACCTGGCCAGCCATTCTCGATATCTTCAGTCAGTGACTCTTAAATATTATACAGTGATATTAATTGTACCCCTTTCATCTCTTTTAGAAAATGTTACAAACATGAAGCTGAACAAAATGTTATCATGAATCATATATAATTAACCTTTGACTCATGATCATGGTGATTTGTTACACAATGTTCACCCATTGTATACTGAACATCAAAGACAACTAAGTAGCAGGTTCTTGGTTCTCTTGGCCACCTGATTTCATCTTGTTATTTTTTTTTTTTTGGTTTATTGCTTGTTCTGCCTTTGCTTTGCTCATGCAATGTGATCATGTGTTCAAGTTGTTTTAGGTAATACTGTGAGTTTGATATAGAGTAAAAATATTAACTTCATACATGTACATCATATAATATCATTAGAAGTTAGTCTAATAGTGCTTATCCTTTATACTCAACAGGTCAGCTTGATTACATTAGTATTGACTCAAGAGAGAACAGACTGTTATTCTTTGCTACAGAAGCTGATCTGGATGAAACCTTAATGATAAGGAAGCCTCTTTTAAAAAGGTAATTTCAACATGGACTGGCCTTTAATTTTCACTAGTGATGGACTTAATGTTTGTTTTGACAATTCAGCCATTTTGAGAAAGGTCACCCTATAAAATTGTAAATAAAGCACATGCAACAATGCTAAAAGGTGCGACTGTTAGTGTTAACTAGGAAACAGCAGTGCTCTTAATGAAGTACCACCCTGGAATAACTCATGTGACAGTGTAAGATTTGATAAGATCGAACTGTCATCACCCTGAACAACAATGGGGTGCTTATACAAAGAGATTTACAGCCCTATGCAGCTACTTGACTCATGTTTGAAACTGTTTATTCACCATCAGTCACACTAGCCCTAGCACTTTAAGCTTTTTTGTTTTTTTCCTGTTTCCAACATGTTTGGATAAAGATGATATTTGATCAATACTAGTTGTTAGTATTATTCAAATCCTTTCCTTAGTGGACACCTACCTTGAATAAGAGCCAGATTACCACATTGAAAAATTTAATAAGTGTTACAGCAGTAAATATGGTATATATGTTATATATTAGGTACTGGTAGTTTTTGTTGCTTGGTCACAGTTCATGGTGTTATTAATAGTATGATGGTCAGGAGGAGAAACCTTGGATACAAATTTCAAGCTTTCGTTGCAAATCGTTCTAATATATTTTGGGACTAGAATGTCCAAATTTCGTTTCAAAATCTTTTTTTTTTTTGTCACTGGAGTCAGATCTAAGTTTCGAAATTAATATTTCATTGCTGTATGTTATAGATATCCTTGCATCAATATTGTGAAAAATTTAATGGATGCTCATCTGTACATTATAAAGAAATGGGTAGTGGATTACTTGGCTGAAAACAAGTAAGAATTATTAATCAGTATTAATGTTAATATTAATATTAATAATAATTATGTCTGTCATACCAAACATGGGAATATATGAAATATCATATAGTTATTTAAACTGCTGGAGAAAGATATGCCACCCACCAGAGAGATGGTTATTCAATGTAAATGCAAATTAAAATAAAGCATGGAAATAAACCTGTTCAAGCCTGAACGCGATTGTTTGTCTTCAGCATGGGCAGGTATATTATGAACCTACAAACCGACCAGCTCCCAAGTTACTTGAAAGCTAATTTGATAGTAAGAGTAAAGTGTCTTGTGTAAGAAACAGAAATGGGACTTGTGCAGAACTATTCAATATGAAGATGCATTTCACATGCATGCTCACTTTCAAACTCATTTCCATGTGAATGGTTTTCCATGAAGACTTGATTTGAATCAGAGGCAAAAAGTAACTCAGAATTAGCATTTTCTTCATTCCACTTTTAAATTTATGTTGCTGCCACATAGATAGGTGCTTCGTGTCTAGATGGCATGTCAGTAGTTGGCAGCAAAGGTAGTCAGTCACCATAAATTGTTTCTACTTCAAGACGGACTGCTATGTTAGTCTGCAGTGCTGCATTAGCATCTCAGTGTACTGGTCAAGTTTTCAATTTTTTATTGTAAGAAATATTAATATGGTCCTGTTGAAAATGATACAGAGTTTCTTGTTTCCTTCCTGTTCTCCTACTCAATGAAACTTCTACCAGTTTTTGTTTGAACCGTGGACATAACATGAACTGCTTCATGGCATATTACTGTATCTTCCCTTGTTGTATAGTAACTTAATTTTTTACAATAACTGTCTAATTTCTCGCACACTGATTGGCTCATTTTTATCATCAATAAGAGTACAGACGGATAAGATTTTAATTTATGCAAGCTTTCAAGTTCAACTTTCAGCTGTCAAACTGCCAACTTTTTAACCAATGAGATTTTGTGGACTTTTTTAAGTAGCCAATCAAAAAGGGAGAAAAGCTGTTGACAATGTTCACGTCACATTGAATAAAATTCACTTATATTTGAAACTAGATGCAGAGGAGGAATCACGGAAAACTTAACTGAAGCTACTTCCATATTAATTATTATTTTGTAATGTTGTTTTTACATGTTCTCCCTTTAAAATTTTACTATCATATAGTAAGCTACTTTGTACTTAACCTTATAGACTACAAGTAGTCCCTCTTTCGCTTAGTCTGTTGTGCGTGATGTGAAAGAAAACCACGAGAAAAAAATGGCCACGCAAAATCCTGGGGGCGAGGAGCGCGCGAAAGGAGGGACTACCACCTAAGCCCAAGAGTTTGCTCTTTCACGGCCGAATGATTTTTTGGTGTAGGATTTCTCATCTTGATGTCCTCTTATTATCGCCTGTTGTCAATAACCCTGGGAGATATCCTGAATAAAATTGCTTTACTCTACTCTTCAAGTAGCCAGGCAAAAACATATGCCGTGAGAAGTATATCTTCGTTCAGTGTTCGTTCAGCGACACTGTCCAAGAAGTTTTAAAAAGAAGAAGGCGAATGGGGTATCTTGTAACAATTTTCGCTGTGTCTATAGGTGTAAATCTAAAAGTTATTGTGAAAATTTCAAATGCAGAGTTTCAACCGAGAATTTACTGGCATCATGTGTTTGACATAGGAGATCATCCAACTGCGGTGAAATGTTTGCCGATAGCAGTGGAAAGTTTCAGGTGAATGTCCGGTTTCAAGTGAAAGTCTGGTTCAATCTTTCAAATGGACGGCAGAAAGGCCAGGCTCAGTGAATATATATTCGCTGACTTGGACAATGCTGTTGAGTGGCGAAATCACTAAGAGGCTTGCAGTCGGGTTGGAGGTGGAAAGCTTTGCCAAACAAAACACTGGATAAATTTAAATCTTTCCAAAGCCTGTTGGCAGATTCGCAAGAATATCACGACTTGCGAAGCGCGATTCCAACGCTTCGATTTGCTCTGGTACCACTTCAATTTGCTCCGGTTCCAAAACATTCCTGCAAGACGTCACATGTATCTCGAATGTTGACAACGCGTTGTCAAATGTTGACAATGCGTTGTCAATGCTCCTAACATAAGCCAATCATATTTTGCATTGTGAGAGCAATGTATAATTCAAACTCTTGGGCTTAGGCGGTAGTCCCTCCTTTCATGTGCTCCTCGCCTCCAGGTTTTCGTGCAGGCATTTTTTTCTCGCGGTTTTCTTTTCGACAGACTAAGCGAAAGAGGGACTACTCGTAATCTATTAATCTTAGAACTATATGTACATCAGGAAAATACTGAGGAAGAGAAAAATCAGTGGAAAAAATTACGACCAAAAATTATGCTCTGGGGCCGACATTTTGGGATTAGTTGCCAATTGGCTCATCAATAAAAACATTCATTTCGAGCCGTATAAGGCATGCAAATTTTGAAAAAAGTATAGATTTTCATAAGTTAGATGAGTAGTAATAGGTGAAAAAAGTAAAGTGAAGGCTTAGAGCCAATGGCTCATAGCTGTCGGAGCTTGTCCTGCTTTCTGTAGCATGAAGCGGCTAGAAGTATTTCTACTCCCCCTGGACAGGATGCTAGTCCATTGCAGGTCACTCCCCCACAATTTGTTAGGTTTCTCCAACAATTTGCCGGTAACCATTTATACTCCTGGGTGGAGAGAGGCACTGTGAGAAGCACGCAACACCGTGTCCCCGGCCAGGGCTCGAACCCAGACCGCTTGCTTTGGGTACGAGTGCACTAACCATGAGGCCACTGTGCCTCCCAATAGGTAACTTGTCTCTTAATGATCACAACTGTTATATTCCTGTCGTAGGTCAATTAGTTCAATAAAGGGTGAGCTTATTCCCTATTTGGTGAATAAACAGTTTCAGAAGCATAAGAAACTGAATGACATCATCTCGGAATCCATTGACACCAGTGTCCAGGAATCCAGCAACATTAAACTAGGTAGGAGTTTAAAACAACTTAAACAAGATTTAAACTAAATGTCTATTGAAACCTCCCTCCCCATCTCCAGGAGGTCCCATTTCTTTCTGTAGACCATAAACCACAACCAATTCTCTTTCAATGAAACCTGGTCAAAATAAGTCATCTGACACACTATCCTCTGAACAGTTTGTGCATAATTTAATTTGGATCAGTTGTGAATGTGACAGTTTAATAGTACATTGTTGACACAATTTTGTAAAGACTGTTTTTGTTAAACTGTTTGCTTATCAAAAGCATGATTACTTTTTATCAGTGATAAGCAGTAATTTGAAATGTTGTTTTTTTTTGAAAACTCTAAAAGTAAAAATAAATAATACTTTAAATTTTGATGCTACAAATAATGTTTTTGGAGATCAAAATGAAAAATCTAACTAGAAGTTCACAAACACAATGTTGAGAGAAAATTACATCTAGTGTAGGGATATAGAAGCAAAATAATTTAACATAATAAAATTAATGATTATCGGTAAATATGTTACTGAAAGCTATAGTTTATTGACAGGAGGTAACTGTTTGAAACTTACTGCTAAGTAGGAATTTGATATTAGTACTCAGGGTATTTTTTGGATGCTTAAAGGGGGAGTGGGGGGAGGTGCTTAATGGAGACAACTAAAGATGCTTATTTAAGATGAGACACTTTTATTACTTAATAGTTAACTAATATTATTTTCTGGTTTTATCAAAGTGCTGAAACTAAACCTGCTTAAATTTTATTTGATGTTAACTCTCAAAAGTAACAATTATATTGTTCTCGACATAAAACTTATTAAACTCAGCTTGGTTTCCTTGGAACTTATCTGATAAGAGGTCAGAGTAATATTATTATGGCACATTCATTGGAAAAGGGACTCAAATTGCACAAGACCTTCAAATTACAGGGTTTGATTGAAAAAGGACAAATATTAGAAAGAAGCTACATGTCTGTTAATCACTATGGTAATTGATACGGTAACTGTGATTGCTTTACAGATATTCATGACTTTGCAAAAGAAGATGACATTATGTCATACACAAGGGAAATGTCCTCTTGGAGTGGCACACTGACAGATGTTGATCATACAAACAGCATCCGATGTCATGCATATGTCATGGAAAGTGGAGTCTGTCTTCGAACAAATACCGTTCCACTTTATATGGAGGCAAACAGACAGGTTCAGAACTTTTGAGATCTGTTTTAAGTAGTTATGTCTATCTCACTGTATTTCAATCTCCTCCTCCCTTGAAAACCACTTTTTTAACTGACCTTGTCTAGGATGACACTTTCCTCTCATGAACAAATTAAAATACAATGGCCACCTTTTTTGTCTGGGTAGACAGTCCATACATTTACTCTTATTTCAACCTCTGTACAAGAGCCACATTTCCACAATGGCAACAGCCACTTATTGCATCCCAACTTCCAAAATAATCTCTTGACAGTCGACAGTTAATCAACAACTGAGAAATGGTGTTTTCAAAACTCCATTTTTAGTGCAGAGTGCACTATTGGGATGGT